GGCCGGGATGGGGAGCAGCCGCGGGGCCGCTCGGGGGTCGCGCCCGGCCCCGGCGGCGGCGGCGGCGGCGGCGGCGGCTCATGCGCAGGCGGGTCCCGCGTGTCCTCAGATGAGCCCGAGCCCGCAGGGAGCCGCAGCGCGGCGGGCGGGGGCTGCGGCAGCGCCGGGGGACGGCACGGGCACGGCACCGGGCACGGCACGGGCACGGCACCGGGCACGGAACCGGGCACGGCACGGGCACGGAACCGGGCACGGCACCGGGCACGCACCGGGCACGCACCGGGCACAGCACCGGGCACGCACCGGGCACGCACCGGGCACGGAACCGGGCACGGCACGGGCACGGCACCGGCACGGCACGGGCACGGCACCGGGCACGGCACCGGGCACGGCACCGGGCACGGCACGGGCACGCACCGGGCACGGCACGGGCTCGGCACCGGGCACAGCACCGGGCACGGCACCGGGCACGCACCGGGCACGGCACGGGCACGGCACCGGGCACGGCACCGGGCACAGCACCGGCACGGGCACAGCACCGGGCACGGCACCGGGCACGGCACGGGCACGGCACGGGCACGGCACCGGGCACGCACCGGGCACGCACCGGGCACGGCACGGGCACAGCACCGGGCACAGCACCGGGCACGCACCGGGCACGCACCGGGCACGGCACGGGCACGGCACCGGGCACGGCACCGGGCACAGCACCGGCACGGGCACAGCACCGGGCACAGCACCGGGCACGGCACGGGCTCGGCACCGGGCACGGCACCGGGCACGCCGCACACCCCGGTCCCCGGGGCACAACCGTGCGATGGCACACGGGGCTGTCACACCTGTGCACACGCAGCACACACGGGCACGGCACGGGCACGGCACCGGGCTCGGCACCGGGCACGGCACGGGCACAGCACCGGGCACCGGGCACGGCACCGGCACGGCACCGGGCACGCTGCACACCCCGGCCCCCGGGGCACAACCGTGCGATGGCACACGGGGCTGTCACACCTGTGCACACGCAGCACACACGGGCCACGCCAAGCGCTCCCCGCCTCCCACCGTGTGGTGGCACACACGCCTTACACACGCTTTACACACGCACACCACGGCCATAGAATCGCTTTATACACGCCTCACACACGCTTTACACACGCACACCACGGCCAT